CCTGCTCCGCCTCGGCAGGGACGCCTGGCTGCCGCGGGAAGAGCGGGCAGCAGCGGCGGCGCGGGGGCCCCAGGGCACGGGGCTGGCGGGCAGCTCGACGGGCTCGGCGGCGGCCATCTCGGGCCGGCGCTGGCTTGGCACCGTCTTGCGGCGCGGGATGCGCTTGCACTGGTCCAGGCTCAGGTGCAGCGGCTGCTGGTCGGCGTGCGGGTAGGGCGGGGGCGGCGGGGAGTGCTGGTCGCCGCCGCCGCCGCCGCCCCGGCCGAATTTGAAGTAGTGGTGATTGTGGGGGCTGCTGTCGCCGTCGCCGCTGTCGCGGGTGGAGATGCTGCGGCTGCGGCTCCTGCGGGCGGCGGCGACGGAGGACGCCATGGCGGATAGCTTGCCGCGCTTGATGTACGCGGCCGCTAGCAGCCCGACGAGCACGGCAAAGGCGCCGAGAGACGAGCCGACGGCGACGGCGACGGACCGCGCCGAGGGCGCTGATGAGGGTCCAGTGGCCGCCGCGGTGCCGTTTGCTGCAGCGGCTGTCTCGGCTGGGGCGGCTGTAGGTTCGCTAGTGCTGGTGCTACTGGCACTGGAGCTGGAAGAGCCGGTGGCCAGGGTCGCAAGGGTGGTGGGTTGGATAACAGAAACACCCGGCAATGAGTTCGCGACGGTGGTGGTGGGTTGAACAAAGACTCCCGGCAACGGGGTTGGTTTAAGGGTCGAAGACGATTTGGCAGGGGCCAAGAACCTGCTCTGGTCCTCGTTCCGGACGCAAAAGGACGCCCTGTCCGGGTCGCATGTGTATCCAAACGGGCAGCACCCCTCGGCGCAGCGCGGCAGCGGCGTGTCGAGCTCGGTGGTGACGACGGAGGCGTACGGGAAGGTCTTGACGTCCTGCTGCGAGATGCTGCACGATATCGGGGAGAGCACCTCGCAGTTGGAGCCCTTCGGGCAGCACAGGGCCGTCGTGTGGCCGGCGAGGGACATGCACGTCTCGTCCTTTTGGCAGCAGAACGTGGTCGGGTAGCCGCGCGAGCATGGCGTATCTTCTGAGGCGAGGCAACTGCCAGAGCCGGCCTGCCGCGGGGCTATCCTTGACCGGGCCAGGGCCCTCCTCAGCGGCGTGTCTCGTGGTGAGAATCCCTCCTCTTTAGTCGGGTTGCCGCGGCCTCCAAGGCCAGTTACTGGCACCAATAGTAGATATAAGCAAACGAGTACTGAAAAATCGTGGGAAAACATGGCGAAAGGGTATCTGATTATAATAGCAAAGACATGGAAAATATGAGGAGTAAAAAAGACCTGGCGCCAAACGAAGCACAAGGTAAAAGAAGTGGTCAGAGCGGGAAAAAGAAAGCGATGCTGATCAAGAGGCAGACCAGGCCTCTTGCTGTATTAGTTTGGGACTGGGCTTCTTGCACTCTGCGAGGAGGCAATGTGGTGGCACGGGGGAAGATGTAGTCGTCGAGGGGCGGCCGGCGTTGTGCCACATATAGACAGATCCGATGCGCCTTGACGCCCTTGCAGCGACCTTCTAGGCCGTTGGATGGCCAGCTTTACGGGACCCGACGTGCTCGATAAAAACAACAAATGGGTCGTGGAGCCGGCCCAGAGCTCTGGGAGCCCAAGGGGTAGACACCGCACAGCTCACGGCGCGGCAAATCCCTAATGGCGGGCGCCCGCGTCGGTAGCGCGGCAGTTGGCAGCCCGCATGCCCGGCGGGGGCCAATGGGAGGGCCGGGTTTGCCGCGAGTGGCCAGGGGGGTGCATGTGCTGTTCCTGTGCGGTTCCTTTGTGGTTCCTTCGCGGTCCCTGAGACCCCCCGTCCGGGAGCCTCGCCTGGGCTGCCTTTGCACCTCGTCGCCCAGTGCTAGCAGAACCAGCAGTGCAGAGTAGCAGCAGACGGCAGCACCGCAGCCCCTCCCATTTCATCCTAGCCTGTCCCGTCCAACGGGGCGATCCATCTTGGTGCCTGGCCCTGTCTTGGGGTCGCAGGACGGGTGGGGACGGGGAGGTATTTTGGTGATGGATGTTGGTGGTGGGTGGGTGCCTTCGGCTCGGTCAGCCAGTGACTGTAAGGGGGGCATGCACACTGGGGACGGCATCAGAACCATAGGTGGTGGCGTCCTGAGACAGGGAGGATCGGGCGCTTCGAGGCTGCAGGGCGGTGGCCAATGGGCGTCCGCCGCGCACTTTTGCCCGCGTAAAAACTGCACCGTTCTTGTGTCTGCCCAAAAAAAGGAGCGGGATGAGATGCGAAACGCGGTCATTCTGTCTTGATCCAACAAGGGATTTATCGCGTCTGCTCATGTGTAGGAGGCGGTAGGCCTCCTAGTCAGACCTCTTCGTGGCAGTTGTGTTGTTCAAGAGGGTTGGTACGAATCTTGATTGCCGAGTCTTTCTTGGAATGCGGAATGTTGTCGGCTGCATGCTCCACCGCGTTTAGTCACGTGACTTGGATCCGCTGTAACTCGCTGCTCGAGCTTCCATTTTGAGACTTTGACTTCAAGAATAGACGACATCAACAACCCTCGACTACTCGACCCAAATCTCACGTCTGCCCATCTCCACCCCTCTCCCAACAGACATGCGGTCAGACACGGCGGCAGCGCTTGCTGAATGCAGGGACCCGAGCCAGGCATGCCGAACAGCCGCCTCCCCGGGCCGAAATCACGTGCTCAACGCCTCGTCGACCCCCGCGGGCAGCGACCTCCGCACCCGCCACCACCGCGCCACCATGTCGGCGTAGAACCGAGAGTATGGGCTCGGATCTTTGGAGACGTCCACCATGCCGTCGGCAAAGTGCCACGGCTTGTCCCTGCCGATAAAGTGCAGCACCTTGTGCTCGTCCCTGTACCGCAGAATCGCGGGCATGTATAGCCGGTACACCCTGTGCATCTCGATGTTGTACGTGAAGCTCAGCCGGTGCCACGTGCTGCCGCCGCCGCCGCCGCCGCCGTGGTGGTGGTTCTCGCTTATTGTCAGTGGTGCCGGCACTTCTTCTTGCACGGGCCCTAGCGGGCTAGCCGTCCTTTCTTCCCCTTCCGCCTCTTGCTGGCCGCCCGCACCCAGCGCCACGCCCGAGTCGGCCGAGTCCGACATGCCGCCCGTGCTCGCCTTCCTCCCCTGTTGGTGGTGCTGCTGGGCGTGCGGGCCGTCCCCGAAGAACATGTTGAGCAGGCCCTGATCGCCGCCGTCAAACGACGCCGTCCGCGCCGCCAGCCGCAGCAGCGCCGCGTGCGTGCCCGCGTCGGGCGCGAGCAGCATGACGCCCGAGTTGAAGCAGTCGGGGAACCCGAGCTCCGGCGACGCCGCGAGGCCCCCCGGTGGCGTCGGCGGCGGCGGCTGCAGCAGCAGCAGCGGGTCCAGCGACCGCAGTACTAGCGTGTCGGCGTCCAGGTACAGGACGCGCTCGAACTGCGTCAGCGACCAGAGGTGCAGCTTGGTCAGCGTGGCGGCCAGGTCCGGACGGCCCATGAGCGCCAGGTTCCGGAGGTTGGAGGCGGCGCACGCGTCGTCGTCGCCGCCGCCCCCGCCGAGCGGCGGGACCTCTAGGATCAAATCGAAGAGCACGCGCAGGCGGGCCAGAGCGGGTGGTGAGACCGTGTGAGGCGTCGTGAGGACCGCAAGCGGGATGCGCGTGCCGGTATCGCGGAGCGACTTGGCAAGAACCAGGGCGGCTGGGGAGGGTTGAAAGGTGCGTCCTCGTGTTAGCGGTCTCCGTGGAAGTGCTGATAGGGCGCTCGCAACGGCTCCGAAACACATCACTGCAAACCTACCTGTCACATATCCGTCCGTTGTGACGAGCTTGAGCCAAGAGCCAAGGTATCGAGTTTGTGTTAGCAATGCTTATCCTGGGCTCTCTCCTGGTTAGGCATCCTCTATATACCGTGCAGTAGGCAACCGAACTGGCCATGTTTGCGTTATCGTGGAGGCGTAACGTAGTGGACGCCGGCTGGAGCTGAGAGAGCGAGAGTATGAATGCAACAAGGTCGACTAGAAACCGCTTTTCATTCATGCAAATATCTACTGGGCCATCCAGTTCACGTGCGTGTTTACGCAATGTATCTATCCCCTGCACAGCCCTTCTACCGTGTGTCCTCCCGCATGTGAGCAAGCATCCCAAAACGGCTAATTCTCAACACCGTTTAGAATGACTGCAGCCCATTTCCCAACCAAGGTCTACAGGTTCCAGGACCACAAACCCTATTGCGGTGGATGCAAGATACATTTTCTTCCTTAGAAAACCAAACCAAACTGATGTACCACCAGGATCCACCATATCAAGGTTTGTGATCCCTGGGACCTGTACACGAAAACCATCGCCCGTCCAATCATGGAATGACTGTAACATGTAAAATCGTTCCACGTAGAGATCGGCGTCTGACCTTTGGTTCAGCCCGACGCAAAGCTCCGTCATCATGCATGAGCCGCCTTATCGGAAGGGCCGGTGTTGGGACTAGGTGCCGGATAGCTTCGTCTCATTGGGCCCGCATTCGACCGTCACATGTGACATGGAGGAGGAAGGCTACAGTCATTGGGATGGGGGGGTGAGCAGTTCGCTGATTGGGCGCGGATGTGACGGCGCTGAAGCTTAGGGAGGTTTGTTTGGCACCGAGGTTCCCCCAAGGAGGAACGAGAGGATAAAACTGGTACAAGCAATCAACCAAACATTCATGTTCCCTTGATAATAAATCAGTCCAAATTTCATGCTGCCCTCGGAACGCTCAAGATCTGTTCAGACCCGAGTTGGGTTGTAAGGAAGTAGCATCCATAACTGGAAATGGCAGTATTCTTAGGATGCCTTCTTGTAGAGTTCAGATACTTTAGATATTCAAAAAGGTTGAAGCCATCAGGTCAGGTCATATCAGAAATCAGGACAGCATAGACGTTCACACTTGTACATTGATACACACTGCCCATCAACATCGACTCAAAACAGGCCCGAAACACAAATGCTTTTACCTCCCTTTTCTCCCCCTACACAAGAGACCACTTCTCACCTTCCCTCACTATGCGGATCTCGCGGGCCTCGTCGATGCTCCTCCGGCCGGCCTCGAGGATGGCCGTGGTGGCGATGGTGTTCCTCAGCGTCGGCAGGCCCTTGGCGTCGAGGTCCGCGGGCTTGAGGGTCCCGGCGTTGACGGCGCGGCAGCCGTCGACGAACTTCTCCATCGAGACGTAGCCGTAGCCCGTCTGGCCGTTGAAGTTTCCGTCCTCGTCGGGCGCGTAGCGCATGTAGAAGGGGTTGTACCACACGAGCTGGCCGGCCGCGTCGTCGGCCACGTCGTAGCCTCGCTTGGCCTGGTCGATTCGGATCTCGCCGTCGCGCGCGAGGTAGTGGAAGTACTGGTTCGAGTGCACGCCCGCGCGCTGCGGCGCCGTCCACGAGGCCGTGTAGACGCCAGTGGCGCGCTTGCCCGTCGCCGCGTTCTCCCAGTGCACCAGCAGCGAGATGGTGTCCTCGGTGCTCTCGTGGCAGCCCATGCTGGTGGCGACGCCATTAGAGGCCGAGGCTGACACCTTGACGGGCGCGTAGCCGAGCTGCGACACCATCGAGTCGCAGACGTCGACGTGGTGGCTGTTGAGGTAGTACGAGATGTCCGAGTCGACGCCCGCCCAGGCCTTGAAGGTCTCGAGCTGGAACTTGGGCTGCGACATGTAGCTGTAGAAGTAGTTGAAATCGCCCAGCTTCTGTGCCCTGAACCGCGCGTCCGAGTAGGCAGGGTCGTAGCGCTTGTGGTGCTCAATGTAGACGTATACGCCGTGCTTTTGCGCCGCCTCCAGCAGCAGCTGGTGGTGCTCCAGCAGCTTGACAGCCGGCTTGGTGATCATGACGTGGATCTTCCTCTCGATGGCATACAGGGCACTACCATAGTATCAGTGACGCCCAGGGACCAACGCCATGTTCTCATGGAGGGAGTCGCATCTTCAGGGGTCGGGTCGGGTTCTTGGCTGAGAAAAAGAGACAAAGAGACCAAGGGTAACATACATGGGGTAGTGAGTGGTATCGGGCGTAAAAATGGTGATGGCATCCCCGGGCTGCAGCGCATCAATGGCGGTCTTGTACGAGTCCGGGTCCTTGGCGTCGTCCGCAGGGAAAGATTGGAACGATGTGTCAAGGTTGTTGTAGGCGAGCGAGATGTTCTTGTGAAGGTGCTCGCCTGGAGACTCGCGTTAGAGGTGAACTCCCAGCAAAGACAGTGCATACGGGTGTCGATGCTCACGTATGGCTGGATACTTGGTCCCGTTGACGCCGACCATGGCCAGCTTCCCGACCTTTCCTCGACGGCGAAGGTCGAACATGGAAAGCGCAACGACGCCCACCTTCTTGTCCGAGCCCGAGGCGCCACCACCAACAAAGCCGGTGGTGTACTCGCCGGTGCCGACCTAGGATTCCGAGCTTTTGTTAGTATCATGTATCAGTGGGCAAGGTTTCCCCCAGTTCACTTACCATGAGCACGTTGAGGGCAGCCATTTTCACTGAATTATCTGTTTCCCTTGACCAGACAGGGCAGTCAATGGTGCGATATATGATGCAATGGATTGTGGTCCGAGGACGGGAAGAGACAACCAGGGATGGTTTTTTTTTTTTATCTACAGACACCCACGATGGATAGAATAGAGGCAAGGGCACCAGTCAGAGCATTAGCCCTCCCCCTCACCAAAAAGTCCGGGGCCAGGTGGCTGTCACGCAGAGGTCCATTGGGGGGATATTGGGGGGAGGGGTAGGAGGGGAAAGCATTGGGGCGACTTGGAGAGAGGGAGGCCCCTTGCCGTTGAGCCGGCTGTCTGAGTGTTCCGGTGACCGGAGGGATGGGCGTAATTAATCCGCCTACATCTCGAGCGCATCCATGCTTTTATGGGAGAAAGATGGTCTGGGAGACCCACGGTTTGCCCAGGTACCTAGCGGAGGAAAGCTCTAGCGTCTGGGCACAAGTAGACCGGTGATGTGAACGGGTGGGTATGTATCCATGGTTCGTATTAGCCTAGCCTCGGCTGCGTGGGGGATCTCGAGCCGTCGGGACATTGCCTTGCTCATCTGGTGCTGTTAGTCGGAGTTTATTTCTGGCCTCCTCGGTGACGGTTGACCATCCATTGCATTTTTACCATCTCCAGGCTGCAGATGCCATCTGGTACAAGCTCCTCGAAAAAGACGGCTCCCCTGGATCGAGATAAAGACCAAAGACTGTATTGTAGTAGTTCTTGCTGTGATGAATTGATTTGATGGTGGTTGCCCCGCCCCCACGTCGTCGAATTAGTCGAGGGTTTAGCGGCAAGGCCCCAGCTGGCGCGGCCTGGCTGAGGATGGGAGGTACTCTATCGCCCCACACTCAAGAGCTCATGAATCCCATTGATTCCCTGTCGAAAAAACCTGCAGCGCCAACATCATGAGATCATCACCGAGGCTTTGGCCGAGCGGGGGAGAGGCTCGGATCAGATATGCCAGTCTCAGGCTAAATCGTGGTTCCGAAAGGGTGGGATGGTGTCAGACGAGCACTTGCATCGACAAATTGGTGGCCAGCGTTTTCATCTTTGAATCGAGTCGCTCTGCAGCGGGAAGCTACGAGGCCGACCAATCCATGCGGCCAATCCAGCCTGCATTGTCCAAATTTGCCAGCCAGGGGCTGTGTGGCCTCCTGATTGGAGCGAAATTATTTCCCCGTCGTCTTAATGCAGGCTCATTGGGCCGCTCTCCACGACTTCAGGCTCGCGAGCAACACAAGCCTTCCGCAAAATTGCACCCACCGCCTTCCCAAACCGCCGATTCTGCCACCCCACATCATCAAAAGCCTTGATTGAGCCTCCCAGATCTAGACTCGACATTCGCCCTCGACGCGAACTCTATCAATCCGACCTCTCTACTGCGCCCATCGCCCACCACACTGCCGTCGGATCCAGTCTAAGTACCCCAGGCGTTCCTAACTGGATGTAGGTGGTTTTACGACCACGGGGCCGTGACGAAACAAGTTTTCATCCATGCCCTTGAAAGTTCGAGTCGGGGCATCTAGAAACGCTGTCACAGACTGTCACAGACTGTCACTCGCTGTCTTCTCCTTGTTGCCATATGGAAAACAGATCCGTGTGCTGTATTTCTCTACCGCATTACGGTCAGCCACTCCCGTCGAATCCTCAGTCGACACGCTCCACACTTTGTCCCCCAGCTTGATATCCACATGCCAGCAGAGCATGTCCAACGTTGTTCAACCCCCACAAGCGCTTCCCTTACTCCTCATCACCGATTTCTCTTCCATGACACATCGCAGAGACGCTAGCTGGATCCCTGTACCCGGTGACAACCCCCTCTCCTCAGGTCGTCCCGGCAGCATCGGCTGGCCGCCCGTTCCCAACCGGTCAGACTCACCGAGTCCCAACAGCCCGCTCCCTGGAACCCGCCCTCCTCGCGGGAGTTCGCTCGGCGCCAGGATGATGGCCCACTCCACCGCCCCCGATCTGGGAGGAACACCAGAGACTTGCTCCTGGATGTGTATGCGTGATTTGTTGAACCCAGCACTATATGTTTACGCGCTATATATTGCCCTAGCAAAACGCATCTCAAGGGGGGTCCCATGGGAGTGGCCAAGGCCATGCTGCAGTGCCGCCCTCACCACCTGGGATACACCACAAGCCGCTTTGCCTTTCCCCATTCTCAGGGCGCCCCCCGTCCCACCGAACTTTAATTCAACATAAGGTTTCCAGTTCCAGACCTCCTGACACGCAAGCTCGCATTCCTCGTCTAAAAAATTGTGGTGCCTTTCGGAGTAATGTCTAGACGAACAAGCATCCCGTGCGGCTTTGCCCCGAGCATGGGCTGCTATTTATCCTCAGATAGTCCCACCCCGTCCCTAGTGGTGCCTGCCGCTGCGTCAACATCCCATCCTTTCCTTCGACTCGCACGATCTTCCCTATCCCGAGTCCTCTGTGTATATTGCTTCGCTTTCGTTCTTCAGAATCTCCCTAGGTAGCCAGCCTGCGTAACGTCTGAGATCAAAGCCCACTATTGCGCCGCCGCAGGTTCGCGATCACAGCTTCAAGTTGCCAAAGTTGCCTATCCTTTATTTGCCCTAGCCTTGTTGTCCTCGGCATTCTGTTCCATAATCCGCCACCATGACTGTTTCCAGCAACGGCGCCGCCAATGGCAGCTCAAACAGCCACGCGGCCTCGAGGCGGCCACTCCCCTGCGGCATCTACGCCCCGACCATGACCTTCTTTGACCCGGTGACCGAGGAGCTTGACATCCCCACCATCAAAAAGCACGCCGAGCGGCTGGCACGGGCAGGGCTCGCCGGCATCGTGACCATGGGCTCCAACGGCGAGGCGGTCCACTGCACGTGGGACGAGAAGCTCGCCGTCACGCAGGCCACGCGCGAGGCCCTCGACGCCGCGGGCTTCCCGGACACGCCCATCATCCTGGGCGCCACCGAGGGCAGCGTCAAGGGCACCATCGAGCTCTGCAGGGCTGCCGAGAAGGCCGGGGCCGACTACGCCCTCATCCTGCCGCCGTCCTACTACCGCGGCCTGATGGACGACGAGGCCATCCGGCAGTACTTCACGGCCGTGGCCGACGCCAGCCCCTTGCCCGTCATCCTCTACAACTACCCGGGCGCCGTGGCCGGGATCGACATGGACTCGGAGCTCCTCGTCGAGCTGGCCGCGCACCCAAACATCGCCGGCACAAAGTTCACGTGCGGCAACACGGGCAAGCTCACGCGCGTCGCGCGCGCCACTGACGCCAAGACCCCGTCCTCGGAGGGGTCGGGCTACATGGCCTTTGGCGGCATCTGCGACTTCACGGTCCAGACGCTCGTCAGCGGCGGCGGCGGCATCATCGCCGGCGGCGCAAACGTCATGCCCAAGGTCTGCGTGCGCGTCTGGGACCTCTGGGCCCAGGGTAAGCGCGACGAGGCCATGGAGCTGCAAAAGGTGCTCAGCCGCGGCGACTGGGTGCTCACAAAGGCCGCCATCGCCGGTACCAAGCAGGCCATCCAGTCGTGGTACGGCTACGGCGGCCACCCGCGCCGCCCGCTCAAGAGGCTCACAAAGGCCCAGGTCTCGGCCATCGAGGAGGGGACCAAGGAGATTATGGAGATTGAGAAGTCGTTATAAGGGGGGTCTTTGACCCGAGCTTTTGTTTCTAAAAATTGGCCAACAGTTAAAACTCTTTGTTTGCGATACGCAGGGCAACAAAGACCAGTCAAGTGGTTTGGAACGTGACGTGACGTCTCAACGCTAAACCCAGCCCTTTGATGCATCCACACATCACCCAAAGTAGGATGGGACGTGTCTTGAGGAAAGAAAAGCTTATTGGGTTCCCCGTTACACCAAGAAATCACCTGCTCTCAGCAGTCATGATGCCTCCTAGCATGCATACCCGCGTTGCATGCCATTAAATGACGTCTGTATGTACACATCTTGCGCGCTTGGCCGCAGGCACCTCGCAAACAAAAAAAAAAGAAGAAAAAAAAAAGCCCGTTGGACAGGCGAGTTGACCCGAGATTGGCAGCAAATCTACTACAAACACGGACAACTGTTCAAATAAAAAGGAGACTGCGTGACCCGGCCCATTCCGGGCCCAGCATATCCCGCAGACAGCCCCTGGAGTGACGCGCTGGAGGACGTCCTTGCCCCTTTGACAGGGAATTATATGCAGCCATCCCCATTCATATCTTCGCCTTCCTCGGGTCAAATTTGGCAATGAGCCCGGGGTCGATGCTCGAGACGCGGCCGTCCATCATCATCTCGGCCATGAGCAGGCCCGTGGCGGGGGCGTGCTGGATCCCCCAGCAGCTGTGTCCCGCAGCCACCCAGAGCCCGGGCGTCAGTGTCTGCCCGAAGACCGGGTGCGGCTTTCGCTCGGGCATGTAGCAGGCCTGGCGGGCCTTGACGGGGGCCGAGGCGAGCTGGGGCGACACGAGGCCTAGGTACGCGATGAGATCCTCGCATAGGCTCTCGTCGGCCTCGACCATGTCCGCAGTCGGCGGGAGCGGCACAAGCTCGTCAATCTCGCCTGTTGTTTTGTCAGCACCGTTGCATGGGGCTCAGGCTCTTCCTTTTTCTTGGGCACAGGTCAAAGAACCAAGACGGGGCTTTCTCGCTTACCACACGCGTAGACCTCGCCAAAAGGCCGCGCGTAGGCCTCGGGATCGACTCTGCTGTGTTTCCTCTTCTCGCCTTTCGCGGCCCGGTGAGCCGGGACGTATCCGTCCGGCAACGTGATGCTGGTGAAGACGGCAAAGGGGCTGACATCAGCCTCCCACACGACACTGTGCGCCCTCACCGGCCTGACCTTGGACTGCGGAAGCAGGGTCGAGGTCCATGGCCCTGCCGTGACCAGGACGTCGGTGACGCCCTCTATGACCCATGAGTTGTTGCGATTGCGGTCGAGAAGCTCCACGGCCCGGACGACGGCACCGCCGCCGCTGCCCGAGGGTTTGCTGTTGGACGCACCAGCTGAGGTGATAATTCTTGTCACCTTGGTTCCAAGACGAACATTGACGCCCCGCTCCTGTGCGAGGGCGGCCATCGACGTCGTGAAGTGGTACGGGTGCACCTGGGCCGTCTCGTGGCGACCCGAGTATCCCTGCTCCTCCCATGCCGACACCATATCACGCTTTACCCAGTCAAGCTCCGTGGGAAGCGGGACTTCTGTCAGTGACGCCGCCGCCGTCTCGCCCAGTTTGGGAACCTTGTGCCAGGGTTTCTGCGTTGAGCCTTCGCTGCTGGCTCCACGAACATGGATACAATCGTCGTCATTGGGCTCCGTAGGGCCGTTGTCCGTACTTATGTGAACATCAGCGGACTCGTCCGGGGTCCCGTTTTGGGGCCCCGCCATGTCCACCTCTTTGCTGCCAACCATGACTGTCACGGAGAGGCCGTCGGATATGCTCGGTGCATCATCCAGGGTCTCGATGGGTCTGCCGTTTGGCCCGCTATCAACCGTTTTGGTGGCATTGTGGGCCGGCGGCTGGCGTTGTCCATAAACAGCCCCCTCCGCACCTTCTCGGCCTGGTTTGTCATGGGACACCCCGTTCTCTGTCACATGGTTGGGCTCGGTCGTCGGTGGCACAATCCCGTTCGTATTCGGCGCATTCGGGCCTAGGTCGGCTTCCTTGTCCGTCCTGGGAGGAGCGCCGGAAGGCTGTAATACATCTTTACCGTTGCTGATGCTTATACCGTGTGGGTGGGTAGTCTCAGTCGGGGCAGAAATTCCATTCGGATTCGGCTCGTGAGTCTTATAAGGCGCTTCCTGATGAGTTGTTGACAGATGTTGGCGGCCAGGCCCAGAGCAAGGGGCAATGATTGTCCTATCCGGGAATGCTATTTTTGGATCCGTGGGGGCGCCGCTGCTATTTTGAGGATGGCCTCGGGGGCCATAGATGACGTCGCCATTCGAGTATCTATATATAGACTTCCATCGCGTACAAGAGCCCGTTTTGCGACCGAAAAGAACGGCGATGGGCACGGGCTTATCACCGACATCTTGCTCTTCCTGCTGCCGAAGCATCTGTTCCACCTGCTGCTCCAACGGTTGCTGTCGCCGCTGCGCCTCTGGGTTGATGTCTATTTGCGGCTCAGGATGTTGCGGTTTTGGACTGTGTGAGCCAAGGTGCTGCACTTGGAACTGTTGTACTTCCAAGTGTTGTGGTTTTGCCTGCTGTGACTCGGGCTGCTGGGGCTTTGGCTGTGTCAGGGCTGCCTCCTGCACTGATGCAACCGGCGGAGGTATCGGAGTCTGGAGGGTAGATTGCGCTTGCTGTGTCTTTTCAAGTTGCGAAGGGGGCGTAGTGGGACTGCGAGACGTTGCCTCGGACGGCGGCTCGGTCGTATCAGGTCTCGGTCTAGTCGAGGAGCTTGCTGTGTCTCTCTTGCGCTTCTTGCTCTTCTTGGCAGCACGCCCCTTGGCGCTGCCACCACCATCCTCGTCGGGCGGCAGCGAGCCATCTACCGCACCTTGCGGGTCCTGGAGGTTGACGCGTATAGTGCCGCAGCCCTGGAGACGACGGTAGCCCCAGCGCACACTGCCGTCGTGTTCGTCGGCTAGCTCGCGATGAAGGCGGTAGGATAATGGGACGGTCTCTTCCGGATACGCCCACAGGCCGAGGAGGCCGCCGGCCTTGCCCGAGGCGCTAGAGGCGATGCCTGCGGCTTCGACGATGGTGATGGTGTGGATTTCGCGATTATATTTGGGGTGACGGGTGAGGTAGTAGGCGGTGGTGCAGCCCATGACGCCGCCACCTGTGCGCATGGAGTCGATGCGGGGATGTCATATATTAGCGATAGCTAGAGCTAGAATGACGTGGTGGTTGAGGATTGGTGGGCCGATGACGCTCATGGTATTTATCCCAACGAAGGAATGCGCTGACGAAGGGAGAGGAGAGCTTAGAAGTGAGGTGGCGTGACCAGGCTCCGGACAGCTTTGCATTCCATGTTGCAGACAGAGGGGATAGGGTAGAAGATAGGGAGAGACGCTCCTGCCAGTGCACAAAGTAAAACAGTACGTACCCACTATCACTATATTCCTTGGTGTAGTATCCATTGTTGCGCAGGCTGACTACCGTCGGCGCGCAATAGCCGCCAGCCCGACGCGTTGCTGCTAGCGCACCACCAAGATTCGGGATTTTTATCTTACGATGGCATGACGCCTCGGGATGGTAGGAGGCAGGTGGTGACGAGCGAGGAGGGAGGATTACGGCAACACGTGACCCGAGTGGCGGGCGATATCAATTGGCAAAGAGCAGAAAAGAGAAGATTGACCTTTAGCTGGAGAGCTGCGGCTCGTGAAGCTCATGAAGCTCCACGCCTCGGCGCGCCGCTGTCGAACCACGCGAGCGTGGCCCAAGCTCCAGTGTTCCCGAATCTAGTGGGGTCGCCAAGAGGGCGCCAAGAGTGATGACGAGAGTCACGTGATCGACGCTGGACAAACGAAAGGCCGGGGCACTCAGCCAGTGTGAAACAAAGCATGTCAAGCCGCCTTGATTTTCGATTGTACCAAACTTGTTGCACTCGTGGGCAAAGCCGGTGGCGCAGTCCAACAGAGTCGAGAATTTGGATTCTCAAAACGTGTTCGCCTCCCCTCGACCGACTGCAATCGGAGACTCCAATTGGCGGGGTGCGCGGACACCGTGCTCCGCCGCTGCCTCTGTTCCAAATGCTCACATAATCCACTGTGCTGTCTGCACCTTGTGCACCGGAACGGGACACTACCGAGGCCCAAGGACCAAGATCCGGGCACTCTGGCGTCTGGCAGCTGTTGAGGGTTCCAACGCTGCATGTGAGGGGTCGTGGTGCCCACACCGGGGAGCTCAGGAGGTAAAAGCACTGGGAAAGAAAAAGACGAAGCTGAAACCCACCCAGATCACAGCAGCGACCCCACGCAGCACAAGATCGAGTCGTATTTCTAATCCCATGTCCAATTGTGGTATTTTACCTCGCTTGGCTCCCCTTTCAAAAAGTGCGAGTTGGTCACGACCTCCAACTTCATTCCATCCAACGACCCGCCAACCCTGCCGCCGACGCCAGTCCGAGACTTCCGGCTTCCCACATAGTAGGTGCATATCCTTCCCCGAGCCCCGAGAGCGTCGAACTATCTCATTGGTGGATCGGAAGAGCGCACATTCAGGTGCTTGGCTAGCCACCGCCGTCGGCGCAGCCAGGTCGGGGCGAACAGACAGAGGTTGACGGATACAGCAGCAAAACTCCCGGCTAGACCCCAAAACCACCTCCAACGACGAGGCAAAAATGGCTTCCGCATCTACCTTTTACGACTTTAAGCCCCTGAACAGTACGTGATCAGCGCCATCTTGCTGGCGCTCCTTGTCGCAGCCCCTCCCCGCTTTCTCCCACGTTCCAATCCCCGCTGGCCGCCAGACCCCTCCAACTTTCCACCACAGCCACCACTAGGCTATCCAGTCATATGCGCGCCTCCCGTCTTCCAATTATTGTCGGCCCATCAAGTAGTCGTTGCTGCCGTCCCCAAGTGGGCGACGCCAAGTCGACCTCTATGTTTGGCTATCCTAGACCGAAGCAACCCCACGCATAAATGACGCATATCGCCCTCCTTTCATACCCACCCGAACAGATCTCTGTCAAAGCTGCCAAGCAGCTTCACCTCGGCCACTGCAAACAATTACTAACCCACTCAACAGAGAAGGGCGAGGAGGCTCCTCTGTCTGAGTACAAGGGCAAAGTGGTCCTCGTGGTGAACACGGCGTCCGAGTGCGGCTTCACGCCGCAGTACGGCGGTCTAGAGACCGTGTACAAGAAGCTCAAGGAGACGCACGGCGACGACTTTGTCATCCTCGGCTTCCCCTGCAACCAGTTCGGCGGCCAGGAGCCCGGCACCGACGAGGAGATCCAGTCCTTCTGCCAGGTCAACTACGGCGTCAGCTTCCCCATCATGGGCAAGGTGGACGTCAACGGCGACAATGCGAGCCCGCTGTGGAAGTGGCTCAAGGAGGAGCAGTCGGGCATCATGGGCATCAAGTCGGTCAAGTGGAACTTTGAGAAGTTTCTCATCGGCCGCGACGGGAAAGTCAAGCGCCGGTGGGCCAGCACCACCAAGCCCGAGGCTATCGAGAAGGATATCGTCAAGGAGCTCGAGGTCAAGGCTTAGGCGATCAAGGCTTCTTAGACGGATGCTTTCGAGGGTGCTGGCCATTCAGATGTATTATCTCCTCCTTGTCTCGTGTGGGAACGCCAGATAAAGCCATCAACATTAATGACATGAATAACAATACTATTGCAATTGCTATCCAAGATCCAAGGTGATACATATCGGCCCAGAGTCCAGGGCGGCTATAGATAGCACGGTTAGCAATGATAAATTCCGAGACGACGAGTTGCAATGTGACCTGCCAACATGATGGCGTCCTCCCAAGATTTGAACAGACTACGAACTAGCTGGCAAGGGTAAACCCAGATATCGAAATCCACCCATCCGGGAGACAAAGACGTCCCTAGAACAAAGATAGGTCGAGGACAAAGATATTCTGAGCATAAAGAAAACGTGGCGCCGGTCTTGACCTCGACCGGTCACCCCTACCAGCTCGTCCTTGTCGGCATGCCTAACAGCAAAGACCTCGTCCTGGTATGCCCAAGCCTACACATATTGTTCTAGTCAGACAGGGGGCATGGCATCTTCTGCTTGCCCAGGTGGGTGGTGCACAAGTTGGGGCTCGCTTTGAACCCGTCAGCGGAGCACTACTTCTTGTCGCCTTCTCCAGCTGACCCCTTGAGCACTCTCCACGATGCGTTTAGAAAGGTAGTTCCCACCGAGCCTTCCCTCTCTCCCCACCTGCGGGCGTGGGGGGCAGTAACGGTCTATCCAGGTCCCAAGCTGCGCCTCTCAGCCAGCCGGCGGTTTTTGTTTCCGCCGGCAGGGCGAAGCGTTCCTGTGACTATGGTTCGCGCAAGGGCGTGAGCTGAACCCAAGTCAGAGCCGAGCCGACCCTTCAACCGTGTTATGTCTACGATACAATTCCGCAGTTGCCACTGGCCAAGGCCTCTGAAAGACGGGTCTCGTTCCTTTGTTCCATCTCCCAAAGCCTCGTAGATATCCACTGGCTGGGGGGTGCTGGGCCCCTTCCTACCCTCTCCTCGTCCCTGGGCATGCCTTGGTCGGCCGCTGCCACATGGCGAGCCCTCCTGTCGTTGGGCAGCCTCTACGCATGGCGACGCGCTTCTTTCGTGACTTTTGCGCCCTGTGGACGTTGATAATCTCTACCCTAGTGTCGCAAAGGAGGTGGGCCACAGCCAAGACAACGGCCCGGCCGGCCAGTGCTTGGGAGGATACTACCGAGCACTGGTGAGTATAACCGAGCACCGGTGTATACAAGGCCCAAGGGTCTCCCACCCTCAGCACGTTCTTTAGAGTAGAGACCAGAGGGCTATCAAGTAACCAGTCTACCGCACGCATCAGTTCTCATTGCAATACCCAACCGTGTTCCCTATACCGGCGGCGGCGAGCGTCATCACACCCCTCGGCCATGCCAGCGACTACCAGGAAATGACCCCATCCATATCCTGCCATCGGCATTGCGATCCGACTCTATGCTTCTCCGGCAGCCGGGGGACACGCACAGAGCCCCATGGAGGTGGCACGGACAGGGAAAGAGACGAACAGGTAAAGAAAACTGCTATGGCCGCATTGCGGGAACGAAAATGGACTCTAGAACTGCAAAGACCGAGGATTTATACGCTGATTGGATTGCATGGGACCGTGGCCGGATCAGCGATTTCTATAAGAGCTGCTACAAAGGTAGGTAACGATCTATGAACGTCCAGACAAGAGGTCTGGGTCCCTGACGGCTACGCGCGCGGAGTTTACTCGACAGGAGCCATAGGTCAGCGGCCATACTGTTTGTGGCACGTGGACCACGACAAGGGATTTACGCAAGCCCACAAGCCATAAATAGACCATCTACCCTAAATAACCACCCAGCAACTGCCCCAGACAACCACCCAGCATCTGCCCCAGACAACCACCCAGAAGACAGCCGCTACAGGCACGCCAAGGCAGCGTCATGCTATCACGGTCTATACTTCTCGGTCTCGGCCGACCTATGTTTAGGCGTGCCCTGGCTACTTCCTCTCCTCGCTTGAGACGCGTCTCGACCACAAGTACCGGCTCGATCATGATTTCGGGCTCGCTCAGTGATACTACCTCGATCAATATTACTGGCTCGCTCAGTGATACTACCTCGATCAAGATTACTGGCCCGATCACGGATAGCATCTCGATCATGCTTACTGGCTTGACCACGGACAACGCCTCGACCACGGACAACGCCTCGACCAAGGAGACCAACCCGGCCAAAGCCATCTCTGGCATGGAGCCCGTTTTGGCAGTGCCAGGTCTGCTGACGACGTTTCTTGAGGATTCCACGCATCCGATGGCCGCGTTCTGGAAGGAAAAGCCCGAGCTCATGTCCTACGACAAGGCCGAGCAGCCCGTCGTGTATCGCGACCAGACCGTCGGCTCGGGCTACAAGCTGCTCTACCGAGTGGGCGATTGGTGTTGGCTGACGCGACATCCCGTCACCCGAGAGTACCTGACCATCAAGTTTCTTCATCGCACCCCCAGGGGGAGCCTGGAGTTCGAGGCGCTCCGATTTGTGCAGGAGCGGGTCTCGAGCCCTCATGTCGTAAAGATGGTCGATTCGTTCACCCTCCCCCACCATCTCGCCGAAGAACGCCCCGGCGACTACCCTCAACTTGACAACATCATGTTCCAGGCAGTGGTGTACAAGGCCACTGGGTCCGACCCCTTGACGACGGATGTCTTCGAAGACATGCACACCGGTGTTCACGAAAGGATGCGCATCATCCGCGATGTCGTGCTTGGTGTCGCCGCTCTTCATGCCCAGGGCATGGTCCATGGAGGTAAGAGCTTATCTGACATCTTTCTACCTATGGCTTCCAACTAAAACACCACTCTCCAGATATCAGGGTAGAAAATATCGGTCTGGCTCTCCCGTCCCATACCGAATGCTCTCCCATTGTCCCGGAAGAATTGATCGAGTATGACTTTGTCAAGAAGCATTCGTGCCCTTACTCGCCAGCGTTCCCTTCCCGCTCCATGATGCCAGTAGATATAGGTTTTGGGACGGGCCCTGCCAAGATTCTCAACCTGAGCTACGCCTTCTGTGCAGACATATCAAGAGTTTACGAACCAAACGACTTCGGGGGCCCCGAGAACAGCAAACCACCGGAGCTACGCACTGGGAAACCCACATCACTGCCTTTCAAGGTCGACAGCTGGCAACTCGGCTTGGCGATCTACTGCGTGGCCACTGACGGATACAATCCCCTGTGGGAAACCTCTGGGGTCCCGGATGCTATGGAGAGATGGACCGAGGTAGTGCTGGAGCGCTGGAAGTTAACGGACGACGACGACGAAGCCAACGTCATACGGATCATCCTCTCCCTCCTGGAGCTGGAGCCCGGGAAGCGCATGGATGTCGTCGACTTGGCCAAGGATGAGTGGTTGATGCGCATCCCGGCCTAGGATAGGCTGGAACAGGGGCAAGTTGCTGAAGCCCAAGCATGTGGTAACCTCGTGGTGGTGGGATGCAAATGGAGAAATTCCGGTCACGTCTGCTTCTACTCCGCATTCATCGCAATAGCACAGCATCTGCCAGCTGCTGTGGGCGCGTTTATATTTATACCTTGTTCTCCTTTCGGTCGGTTCGGGGTTGTGCCCCAGCGGCTATTTCTTTTTCTTTTGGGAGGGGGTCCGTGGAGAGAGGAGAGTGCTGTGCCTCCTGGGGCCTTTTGTACACTATGGATGCATTCCTTGCTTCAGGCTACAGAGTCTGCTGCAGTTCTTCATATCCCGTTCAGTGCCGCTGATGTGACGACCGTCGATCAGTTATGCTAGCTAATAAAATGGAAGCAGTAATAGGGGTAAAAAGATGAACAAAAACAAAGCGGGAACAAGAACGGAATTCACATGTCAGCACCCGTTGATCAAACCGGCACGCCAATTGCACACAAAGGGATGGGCGGGCATTTGCAGCAACTCTCCCAAAGAGCCTGACTTATTGGGTCTAACGGGCAGGTCATAAGCACACACATGTGCCACGTGGACCAAGCGGAACAGGGGTTGCGTCGTGAAGAGTGAAAAATCACGCAGTTTGCCTCACAGAGCGCAAGATAACTCCACCATTCAGGGGCTGAATGCCTAAACCATATAGGCAAGCACTATCTAGAGGGTCGGTTCCGACGGCTGGCGGAACCCCTCTTCCCCCCAAGAGTCGCTCGGCCGGTGCCCCGATCCTTGATGGAAACCTTCGAACGGCGGCGGAGGCCTTGGCGCTTGTCTGTCGCCTCCAAAAAGACGAAGGATGAAAAAGGGGGGATAAGGTGAAGGGCCCATCGCCTAAGGGGATAAGATTGTAGACAAGATACCAGGTGGCGTATGAGTAGATATATATTGAATACGCAAAATAAATAGACAGATACTAGGTGCATGGGTTAAGTAGATGATATACTTTGAAACATGGGGAAGACTCGGGCTGGAAAGGGGGCAAGGGATGGAGGTGCCCACCTGTGGGTTGGCTAGTGGGCACCTCCTTTCATAAGGGGCTGGTGAAACAGCATTCGTAGTTAGTTGTTATACCGTAGCGTGCCGTAGCTGCCTCGTGTGTAGTTGTAGAGTACACATTGTAAACTGGAGCAAACCCCCCGGGGAGAGTTTTCATAGCCGTCCACCCCATCCGGGTTGGGCAGTGACCTTCTTGCTTCCAAACACTAGCAGCGCAAATCAGATCGTTTACGTGTTTTGTATTATATTTCGTACATCACTGCAAAAAGAATCACCACCTTGTGGTCCCGACATTCCCGCAATTGACCCTAATCGCTGCCGTCGTCCGATTCGATAACCACCACGTTCCTGCGCCTCTCCTCGGCGGCATCAGCAAGCAGCCGCCTGCGGATGGCGGGCTCGTTCCTTAACCTTGTCTCGTGCCCGCGAATCTCCTCTGCCAGCTCTTCGTCTTCACCGCCGTCGACGACAACGCCCTCACCCGCCGCCGCCGCCGCCCGACCATCGTTATCCGCACCACGGCGGCCCACGTGGCCAAAGATGCACGTCCACAGGTCGTCCATCGCAATCTCCTCGCCCACCTCCTCGCCGCCCTCGCGCTTGCGCATGAGCCTGGTGAGCGACGCCTGTTCCATCTCCAGGGCGTTTGCTATCTCGAGGCTTGACTCGTCGACGCCTTTCGCCTTGCCCTTGAGGTTCCGGTCCATGTGCTCGAGCCGGCGTTGCACCGACAGATTGTAGATGGACTCCTCCACTGTCCCTTCGACAATGTACAGCCACACCGTTGTGTCCTGCTGCTGCCCGATCCGATCCACGCGCGCGATGGCCTGGAGCTCGAGCGCCGTGTTGAGTAGCGGCTCGCACAGGATGACGTGGTTCGCGTTGACCAGGTTCAGACCGCTTGACTGCGCGCGCGCGTGCAGCAGGAAGCACTCGATGCCCGGGTCCTCGGTGAAGCGCTGGATCCCGGCCCGGTCGCTGATGGACGAGAACCCGATCCGGTATCGGTCGAAGGCGTCCGAAAGCACCTTGAAGAAGTCGGTGTACTGCGAGAAGATGATGGACTTGGCCCCGGGGTCGCTCTCCCGAAGCCACAGGAGGTGACGCACAATGGCGTCCACCTTGGTCGTGTACGAAGGTCCGTCCAGCTCCACCGCCTTGATCTCGGCCAGCTTCTCGGCGTTGAACGACGAGTATATGTCATTCTTGGACTTGGGGCTGGACGGCTTCCGGCCGTCGTTGTTGGTGCCGCCGGCTGCGTCACAGTCCTTATCGCCGCTGTCCATGAGCTTGAGCTGCTGCGGCTTCAGCGTGAAAGGATGTAGTTGGAATGGCCTGACAGGGCGTTTGCAGGTTGGGCAGTTGCCAGCGCGGCTGAGCCATGGCAGCAGGCAGTCCTTGTCGAATTGGTGTCCGCACGTGGTGATGACGCCGTTCGTGATCTCAGTTTGGCAGATGGGGCACATTCGAATCTCGTCCTTGTCCCCAGAACCCTTGAGGTTGAGCACTGTAAACAAAATATGTCAGCGACTCGGGCAGCCAAAGAAACTTTTACGGAGCCCCCAATACTCACAGTACCGGTGCTCAGCCTGAGCCTTTGCAATCTTGTCGCTGAGCGTCTTCTCCTGGGCCTCCATGCTTGTCAGAGCCCGAGCCCCGTCGTCCTTGGCGCCCTGGTAGGGCGCCAGGTCGTCAGAAATGGCCTGTAGCTGGCGGTAGTATTCGACACGGATGTTCATGATGGATGTGAAAAGGTCCACTTCCTGCTCCATCACCGTCTGGGCCTTGCTTTGCTTATTCCACATGGCCGTCAGCTTCTGTTGCAGCTGCTCAACCACTGCCTGCTCCGCCTGCGCACGATCCGAGTTTTGGTGTTTGAGGGAAGCCGAGACCGTTCGAAGGTCACCAAGCAAGGACCTGACGGATCCCTGGCAGTTGGTTGGCGACACACGTGCTCGCTGGTCGAACAGCTCGATCAGTAACTCAGGGGCAGGACCCTCGCCCTCCAGCGCTTGTGCGATGGATGCCTTAGTCTCAACCACAACAAGCTTGCTGACAGGTTGGCCCGAGAGGGCCGCGTGGCGGTCAGCAAGAGCTGTTCTGATGACTTGAACAAACACGATCATCTCCTCCTGGACCTTTGTGGAGTCGCCGTACTCGTCGCCAGTCACTTCCACGTCTTCGTCCTCGTCGACCAGGGGCTTACAAACGAGCTCGATGAGTCGCTGGCGCCAGCCGTCGAGCTGATCCGCTTGCTCGTTCAAGGCTGCGCATAGAGATTCCGTCATGTCCACGATCATGCTCGTCTCGATCCCGGGCCGTATGTCGCACTCCATGTTGGGGATTACAGCAAAGTCTTGGCGCTTCGCCTTGTCCTCGATCCGGGCCATGAGCTTAGAAGCTTTTTGGTGAGAGTCTTGGAGGATCTCTTGTCGAACACGCTTTGCTCGGGCGTAACATTCTTCCTCAAGCTTGCTCAGCCGCTCAATCTCATCCTTGTCCTCAGGATCCGTCATGTCGTTGTCGGTTCTTATCTGGAAGTAGACGTTGCCGCGAAAGAAGATGGCTTTGTGCTGGATCTCGAGGGAATATCGCAGCTTTCGCTGTGCTTCTCGTAAACGCAAATTCCCTGCCTTTTCCTCTTCATCACTTGTGTCATCTGCGTCGTCATCGGCTGCGCTCGACTGTGCTATACGAATCTCCTCGCGCGTGGCCCCGATAACCGGCTCAATAGTATCGAGAACCTCCTGCCAGATTTCCAGCGCTTCCTTCTTCCTCGGCGTCTCTTCAAAGAGTTGGCCCCTGGTGAGCTTCAAAGCCAGCAGAGCGCGCTGGCTGGTCAGGAAGTTGCTGTCCGCCTCCTGAAGCATGAAATCTAGAACCTCGGTCACGGTTCGGAGTGGGTTGCGGCCTGCTGTGTGGCCTCGAGCGCCCACTTGTGGGTGCAGCGCGGCCTTTCGTAGTAGATCAAGGCAGTTCCGCATCACGCGGGTGTGCTCTTCGGGCCTCCAGTTCTCGGTCGTCGGCTCACCCTGGTCGTTCAGCTCACATGCCTTGACGAGAGAGCGAAAGAGCCTTTGATAGTACTGCTCCTCGACCGCGTTAAAGGGAATATTGATCACGTAGCGCTTTTGCGCTGGAAGCTCGAGCTCGCCTCTGACGAGGTGTTTTGTATGCCTCAGACTGATCTGACGGAAGAGATGGCGAAAGATCCCCTGGTAGCTGACAAGTTTGTCCCAGACATTCGGCAGGACAAAGAAATCCGAGTGGAGGAACAAGAGAAGGCCCCGAAGGTCCTTGAGGTCGTCTTTGATGGGCGTTCCAGTAACGGCCCACGCATTCACACGCGGGATCATCTGCGCCAACTGAGCAGCGTGGCCGACACCGCTATCAATCTCCTGCGCCTCGTCGAGACAGACGCGCCACCAGGAAATCCGCATCAGCGGCGAGAGTGGGCGGTGATACTTTCTCTCGCGCCTTCGAGAACGATCAGGAGGCGGTATCGCATAATGAATCTCGCTCCTGAGTTCATTGTAGGTCATGATTACGACATCGTGATCAGCAAGTTGTGCCACTAAAGCAGCCTCGCTCTCGGCGTCGACATGCTTCTTGGTCACCTTTCGCATGCCGCGGTAGACCATGACGCGAAGCCTTGGCGCATGCTTCAAGAGCTCACTCGCCCACTGGTCCCGAAGAGTCTCGGGCGTGATGATCAGAGTAGCACCGCTGAGCTCTAGATTCGCATCTGGGGCTGAGACGTTAACGACATGGTCGGGAGCGGAAGGACGACGGTTGAGGAGGATCAGCCCGAGAATCTCGAGTGTTTTTCCAAGACCCATCTCCTCGGCAAGGATTCCGCCTTTTTCGTTTTCGACTCGGTCTCGCCGCAGTCCCGAGTCGTCTCGGGCCGTGACACCATGGAATTCGCTGATGTAAAATTCCTGGCCATCGACATCCTGCAGCTCGGTGTAGCCGACAGGGGTCGCCGGCTGTGAGGCAAATGGAGCGATGGTTCCATGCGAGGCCCCGTCGACAGGCGGATGCCATTGCACGCCTTCTCTCCCAAGCATCCACCGAACCGCACGCCTCTGGAATGGATACAGCGTCGCAGCAAGCCCCGGGATGTGCATGGATGAGTAGTCAGGTTCCGTGATGTGCGCTGCTCTGTAGAAATCCTGTGGCGACCCGTTGGTCGTAGTCGCGAGAGGGACAGCCGGCATGAAAGCCTCGAAGGCCAGATTGCGAGCCTTTCTAACCCAGCCCCAGCGGTAGGTAGAGGGGGACGTCGAGGCAGAACCCACTTCCAGGAGGAGCCGGAATTTGAGTGACAAGACGGCCTCGCCGCCTTCGAGCCGGAGATCGAGGTCGGTTAACATGGTGAGGTTGCCAGCCTTGCGCGTGCGCGGGACCATGTCGCCGAAGTCGATGAAAGCGCGAATTGGCTCGGGGATGCCGTCTGGGAGGTGAATCGACAGACAAAACGCCGATTCTTTGTCAAGGCGACGACAACAGCTAAGCAGTAGATTCAGCCCTGCTCCTCCAGCGGCCTCGGCGTGGTTGAGGTGCAGCGATACGCCCACATTTGGCCTGCTCAGATGGCGGCTGGGTGTTGAACTTTCAACCAAGGCTGAACGCTTCGAGACCACGAGCTCGTCGCCGTAGACTTCAATAGGACCCTGCACCCGCTGGCGCTTTGCTGGTCTTGCAACCGGCTGCTCCTCCAGCAGGTCGTCGATGAACGCGAAGGCTTCCTGGGTGAAGCGATCTGCGGGGCGGCCAAGTGTCAGCGCTCGCCAGGCAAGCACGAAGATGGGTCACGGTACGTACCACCAACCTCAATGAGCTTGCCACTGGTGAGCTCCCAATGAGAGCAGCATTGTCGCTCATCATCGCTGGTATCCCAGCGGCCAACAACCCGAGGCATTTTTGACGGCCTTTATTTGATACGGAATATGGGAATATGTGAAGGTGTAAGTTGGGAGCTAGCTCCGGGATCTTGGACGTGGGGAGGTTCTGGTATATATTGGCCAGCTGCGGCGACAAGTTGTAGGCTGCAACTGGTCGCCACCGTGCGCGCCACAGCTTCACGGGTCGATGTGACTGTTTGTGGCGTCCGCCTGCACTGTGAGACCAAAACCCAAATCTGGATTACCTAACTAGAGACTGGCCAAGTGCGTCGGCTTCCAATGGGTTAGCCCCCTCAGGAACAGGAATAAGAACAGAAATAAAAACAGGGATAGATAGATGACATCGATTCGAGGCCAATTTCTTTTATTCAAGCGAATCCTTTTGTTTTGGCACAAAGGCAGTGACAATTTTAATGCTTGAAACCTATAAACCCCAACCAGCGAGAGAAAAATGAAAAGAAAAAGAACAATAACAAGGCATCCACCATATTTCAGCGAGAGAGAAGCATTAAAGGCATCTCACTGCTTAAACGCCAGCCGGCTCGTGACTCCTCACTCGAATGCTTCCCAAGATGACTGAGCCTCAAATATGGGGCAGCTCCAAAATAGCCAATCAAACGCGCACGCCAGGCTCTCGCACTCCATAAACGGAAAGTGGATTGGTCAGTGGGTGGCTCAAACGACATCATCGTCAACACATTCTCCATCAAGCGTCCGCCCTTTCCCTTGTTTGCTAGCATACAAATCCCATCATTCTACTTGTCTTATTCCTCACTCCTTACTTATTATTCCCTGCCGCTGCTGTTACACGATGAAAAAGGGGGGAAGGAGAAGAGGAATTCTGACTTCTCAAAAGCCTAACTACTTTGTTAGCAATCCAGAGATGATCCCTTGGAGCCTGCGCTCACACTCTTGCTACGGTTGCTAGGGTAGCTAGACATACCTCTCAGTCGACGTCGGCCGTTTCAGCGCCGGTCTTGCACGTCTCCGGGCCGGTGTGTGCGGAGCTTGCTTGCGTGCTCTCCATGAGGGCCTTCATGATCTTGCCGGTTTTCGGGTGTCTGAAAGCCAGGAAGATCGCCGAGTCGTCCAGGGTGACCTCCTGTTTGTCAACGTCGCGGAAGTACCGCTTGCCCTCCTCAGTGCACCTCACACAGACTTCGGCGACCTCAACGGGCCCCCAGCTGAACGCCGCCAAGTGAGGACTCTCCTTGTATGAATTCTCCAGCCACTGCTCGGTATCGCACTCTCTTGTGTCGACTGTGACTTCGGTTCTTATGAATTGCAGGTGTTGGTTGACTCTTCACTCCACACGCCGCGAGCGTGTATGACAACGTGCTTCTTCTGGTCGCGCATCGCCTCTGTGGCGGCGCAAATTGTGGTGTGAGGTTCAGGATCGCTTCGGCTGGTGTGTAGGGGGTCCCTGAGGAAAGGGGTATGGGTCAGCTGATGAAACAGATGGGACATGCGAGCAACGCTTTATACGTACGTTATTATTCCGTACCTGTACGGTGCTTTCCCACTCGAAGGTTGAGCAACATCATGCCCATCCCCGAGACGCGTTCCGAGCGTATTAATGTCTTCTTGGATTTCTTGTCCGTGGGCCAAGCAAGCCTGAAGCCCGGCCAATTCTGGAAAAGGCGGGTGAGGCGGGGCGCCTGGTTATGCATGGTCGGCTGTTGAGGTTGCTACAGCCGTAGGATGTATGGGCCTTCAGGCTGGTTTGATCGCTACGATGGTATGGTCGTGACCAAGATTCATTTCTCCTGTAATGTTGCAGTATATTTATTACTTAGGAAGTCCTTGTTGCATGTTGAGCGCTGGGCAGGACGAAACGTTTGTAGCATATTCTAGACGCCACCGTTCGGCTGCCTGCGTCTGCTTGCTTCGACTCTTGCTCTTTGTTTCCCCAGACCATGTAAGCCCAAAAAATGGTGGGCAAAGAGTTACCAAAGTTCCTAGCGCTTCTAGCTAGCCCCTTGTTCTTCCAAATCAGGCTTCCTAGGTAACTACCCCGGCGTCTACCGGCCGACACCGCCCAGCTCAAGGGACGGTAAAGGTCCCGTTGATGGGCAGATTTCGGCTGCTGCCGCCCACGTGCACCGTGTAGGCGCCGCCGCGCAGCAGCCACCTCTGTGCCACCACGTCCCAGACGCTGAGGTCGCGGCGCGTGAGGGCAAACTCGACCGTGGCCGTTTGGCCCGGCTGTACGACGGGCTTCTCGAACCCGCGCAGCTGGCGCACGGGCGTCCTCTCCGACCCGCCGCCTCTACTTGCACTGCCGTCGGCGCCACCTGACCCGGGGAGCGAGAGGTACAGCTGGGCGACCTCGGCGCCGGCCACGGCGCCCGTGTTGGAGACGTCGACCGACACGCGCGCCAGCACGTCCCAGAGCGCCGCGGGCCCGCCGGGCGCCGCCGGGCGCCCGGCCTCGGGCGGGGCCGGCTCCCAGCTCGCGGCGGGGTCCCTGTCGATCCCGAGGTTGGCGTAGGCAAAGGTGGTGTAGGAGAGGCCGAAGCCGAACTCGTAGCGCGGGGCGACGCCGGCGGCGTCGAAGTGGCGGTAGTCGACAAAAAGGCCCTCGTTGAAGTCGGCCTGCGGGAAGTTGGCGAAGCGGCCGCGCGCCAGGGCCGGGTCCTGCACGCCCGCGTAGTCGGACTCGTTGCGCGCCACCGTGTAGGGGAGCCTGCCCGAGGGGTTGGCCCTGCCCCCACAGGATGGACGCGAGCGCCACGCCCGACGACTGGCCGGGGAGGTGGGCGAAGATGAGGGCCGTGACGTTGTTGTGGTCGACAAACTGGTCGACCAGGCGGGGCCCGGCGTTGTGGAAGACGACGATGGTGTTGTTGCACTGGTCTGCCACGTGCTTGATCATGCCGTCCGTCAGGTCATCACGCAGGGCCGGGCGGTCGTAGCCCTCGGATGCGGCCGCGTTGACGATGACGAGGCACGCGTCCGAGGCCGGGTTGACGGTGGGCCGGGCCGACACAAAGTCCCAGAACATGGCCGTGTCGTCGGCCAGGCACTGCTGCGTGATGGCGTCAAAGGGCGCGCTCACCAGCGACTGCGAGGTCGCGCCCGACCCGCCACCCGAGAAGATGGTGCCATTGATGGCCACGGGCGCAGGCACGTAGCTAGCCTCCCACGAATTGCCAAAGCCCTTGACCAGATCCTCGTGCTGCATGGACTGACCGCCCCAGATCCAGGAGGGCATGTTGCCCGCTGCGTAGTTGTTTGTGTCGGGCGCCTTGGCCGAGTAGCCAAAGATGGAGATCATGCGCGGCTTCCGCAGCGGGAGCGCGTTGCGCGCGTTCTTGACCAGCACGTGGCCCTCGATAGCGCCGTCAAGGAGTGTCGGCTTGTCAGAGGAGTTGCGTCCGTCCACGACGGCGTGTGGCTTGGATACATCGGCCGGCATGCCGATGCCGGGGGGCGGGAAGTTTTGGTCCTGGCCCATCTTGAACCAGGGGGCCAGAATTCTGTACTGCGTTAGTAGGTCCCTTAGGGTCGCTGTTTTATTTAGATAGAGCACGCTTACCGGATCGCCATGTCTGTAGCCCGAGCCTCGGGCACAGACCCGTTTTGCACCGCCTCTATAAGCTTGGGGCCCCAGAACTTGCCGTCGTCAGGCATGGTGAGGTCCAAGCCCGCAAGTGCCGTTGCGACACCCGCGTGCTGAGCATTCCAGTCGGAAACCACATGACCCTATCATGCAACATGCTGTGATTAGCGCGGGTTGTTGTTGATAGCCTCTCCGGCTACAGTGACATAATCACAAACCTGAAAGCCCAGCTCTGTCTTGAGCAGGCCGTTCATCGTCTTGCTGTTTGAGCAGCCGTAAGAGTTGTTTATCCTCTGATAGGAGCACATGACGCTGCCAGTGCCAGCATGGACGGCATCCTGGAAGGGCCTGTGGCGTTTGTTAGCATGAATACGGCTGGGAAGGCTTTAAGATTGTACTTGCCACAAGTATAACTCATGCATTGTCCTGTCGTCAATGTTGGAGGAGACTGCCGCAACATCGCCGCTCGGAACTCTGTGAGTCTCTTGCTCGTTGCCCACAAAGTGCTGTGAGAGAGTATTGCTCAAGTTAGCACCTTGTCCAGGGGATGGCAACGAAGATGGGTTTCGCCCCGAGCCCACCTTTGTGGCTGCAATAACACCAGCTTGCTGAATCCCACGGACCGTGGCGTCCACGAGTATGCCCGACAGGTAAGGGTCGATCGAGAACCCTAAAAGGACACAAAGTCGTCAGTTACACACTGAGGAAGAAACAACAAAAAAAAGAATAAAGAAAAAAAAGACAAAGGGCGGCTTACCCTCCCAGTTCCGACCGCCCCTGACGGTCCTCCCCATGGGCCCGACGACAGGGCCGAGCAGGACGTTGGCGCCCTTCTTCTTGAACTCGCCGCCCATGCCCAGGGCGCGCCTGAGCGCCAGCGCGCGGTTCCAGCTGGCGCCGACGTGGACGCCGCTCGGCCACGAGCTGACAAAGTCGACACCGCGGAGGCCCTGGCCGGCGTCGGCCAGGCACATGCCGGTGAAGTTGAGGCGCGGTATGGGCGGGATGCTGCCCGGGCAGCTGCTCGTCGCCTTGACTCCTGCGGTGAGGCTCAGCTGTTTTTGGTGTATATGTGTGAGCATCGCAAGCGTGTTTTTTTTTTTGCTGTTCTACTTCACAGGTCATGCTTCTCTCACCTTCTCCTCGAGCGTCATCTTGCCCACCATATCCTTGGCCTTGCCGTACGCCTCGGCCCACTCGCCAAGGCCCGTGATCTCAGCTGTATATGGGAACAAGAAAAAAAGCCACGTCAGCACACATCGGAATCAACGAAATACAGTGTCAAAAACAGCAGCGGCATCTTACGGGACGGGTACACGGGCGGCGACTGGCCGTAAAAGGCGGCGTCCTCCCTGATGGCGTTGGCGGCCTCGCCCCTGGTGCTGCCCGAGCCGGGCCCGCCGCTGCTCTTGGGCAGGGCCGCCAGCCCCGCCAGGCCGCCGCCGATGACGACGGCGACGGCGACGGCGATCACCGCGACGCCCCTTTTCGTCCCGAGGAACGGGCAGCGCCGGGTGATCCCCGCGAGTCAACTGGACTGCTTGCCGCCGCGCCCGTCGCCCATGAGGGCCGTGCCGACGACGGGGCCTTCCTTGGTGGCAGCCGACATTTTTTTTTTTTTTTTTTTTTGGCTTCTTGCGAAGCTACCGGTTGTTCACGGGGATGACTGTGGTTATAGTGCGGGGATATTAATTGGACGAGGAAGCGTTTGCGGTGTGGAGGAGTGTGCTCGGCAAGCGAAGCTGACGATGTAAACAAATTCCAAAGGTGAGGCACAAAAGCACAGAAACATCGATGATCTGCTTGAGCTTCTGCTGCAGCAGTTCTTCTTCTTCTTTTTCTCTCTGCACCCAAGCGGACAGGCCGAGTGGTACGACTCGGGATCTGGTCTCCAGGGCTCATGAACATTGTTCCAAGTCAGGCCGTACCAACTTTTGCCTCCTCTTTTCCCTCCCAACAGCTGAGGTCGAATCAGGTTCTGCAAACAAACCATGGTTGCCAGGCCGATTTGCACAGCTGCGGCCCCACGATTGGGCCAACCAAAAAGGGCGGACCCACCCCCACAGTGCAGACCCCGCAAACATGCGCACGCCTCCGCGACTCACCCGCATAGTGTCCGCACCATGGCGGCAACACTCACCCATACCCCATACATCCCAGAGCTTCTCTCTCCCCCACACGCAAGGGAAGGCTCGGCAAGCTCCTTGAGTTGGGAACCGATCAGGTGAACCGCAAAACGAGGCAGGATAGCCTAGTACCCTATATAGATGCGCGAAAAGGGGTCAAAGATGCGACTAGCCGTTCCGGTACGGTCGATGCCGAGCACGGCCTTGCCGTTCAGATGTTGGGGGGGGGGGGTGCCGAAAATAGTGAGAGAAAATGTACTCCCGAATGCTGGTGAACGGAAGGGCAGGCACCGTATGAAACAAATAAATGATCCTCACAAAATCCACCAAAAACGTGAAATAGCCACAGCCACCTCACCATTTTCAGTGCTTTAGCATTACAACACGACAGCGAAAAAAAAAAGTCGGGTTAAAAAAGGGAGTGTGGTCAGGACACGAGCAAAACAGGACTCGCCTGAGCCGCGGGCCCAACCAACAGACTAAAAAGGACCATGCGCCTAGCCTAGCTACTAGCTGTGAGCAGAAGAACACCACCCCGCACGCTTCGATGGTTGGACCTCTTCGCCCTCGCCCTCTCACTTTACCCCTTATTCCTGCATCTTCTAGCGCGTCCAGCCATCCTAGGCTGTCTGTCAAATCGGACACCATCTTCATCCATCCAGGCAACCCGCCACATGGGCCATGGACGGCGCCTCGAGCCGGTTCCTCTTGGTCTCAAAGACACGGGCGCCAAGGGATGGTATCCTAAAAAGGCCGCCGGCTTTGCAGTCTCCATTCACATTTGCCATGTGGTCCGGATGGTTTCTCTAGAAGCACAGTCCTTTATTTCTCATCTCATAATGGCTTTTTTTTTTTGTTCGAATAACTTGTGTTGCTAGACGCGATGACGTGGTCGAAACACCATGGCCACAATGCGGTGTCCTCCTTAAAACACACCTGGCAACCGGCCAACCATTACCACGGGCTAACATTGACCAAGAGTCATCGCTGGCTAGATCACTGGGAATCCCAAGCATAAATATACACACGAAAACACCCCCATATCTGGCCCTTGTCCACAATGCGAGCGACAGGCCCCCGCGCCAACGGTCTAACGCACCAACTGTTTGCATGGCTTCGGCGGCTCGTTATATCATACCCAAAGCTTCCAAAATGCTGACCAAGATATAATGAATAACAATCAAGGGGAAAAGCGACAAGGTTGCGACTTATTTTGTACGACTATTTGTACCACCCAATGGCAAACGTGAAAGGCGGACCCAGACAGGAAGAGATGCGAAAGGTGATGAGCCGGGAAGTGGGAAGGTGACCCAAAATACGAGGAACCGAAGAGGAACTGCAATATATTGCGGGACGCCTGCTCGCAGAGTCGACGGAAGGAAAGGGAGAGGGAGATGATGAGGTGCGGAGAAGAGCAAGAAGGTGGAAGAAAATAAAATCAAGTAAAATCCGTAGTCGACGACCGTGGGTATCTGAAGCTTGTATGGTTGTCTGACTTGCTGATGCTGATTCATCGCCAGGGAGGCCGAGGGAGTGCGAGGGCACAGCTAAAATGGGGCCCAGCGCAGCATAAGGTAGGTGGAGGTAGGGAGGTAGGCACAAGGCAGATATTGTATAGTGCCGTGAGCGGAGGGAAGGGGTGCTGTGTGCTCAAATCCTTTTCGTATACGAGGCCGACGCCCAGAGTGTTATTATTGCACCCCTTCGCCAAGAGATATGCAATTAGGTAGGTGTTTGGTCGGCGGGCCTTCCTTACAGTATAAGCTGCTTGAGGTTTCGCTGGATGATCATGTCCTGCACGGACCCCATCGTGATCTTGAGTAGGTTGGTGTCGGTCGCGTTGGTGAAGTGGCCGTAAATCTCCTTCTCCGGGTTGCGGTTAAGTGCCCGGAACTTATCCATGAAGTACTTGCTGGCCTGCTTCCAGTCGTCGACGGGGCCGTGGTAGTCGGTGAAGCCGTACTCGGTGATGGGGCTCTTGACAAGCTTTTCCTTGAACAGGTCCATCTTGTTGAGGAACAAGATCAGAGCTGACTTGGCGAACCAGTGCGAGTTGGCGATGGACTCCCAGAGCATGAGGGCCTCGTTCATTTGGTTCTGGAGAAAAAGAAAGCAATGCAGAAACGTCAGTCATCCATCTGGGCGCCATCGCCCGGCCTCGTGACGCCAACTCAGCCAACAGGCCGCTGGTACTTCCTGCTGCGTGGGAGAAAGGGTCCGCAACATTATCTTACCCCGTCCTTGTCCTCAACAAGGCATTGGTCGTAGCCCGAGATGGCAACGAGGAAGAGCAGGCAGTTGACGTTCTCAAAGCAGTGGATCCACTTCTTCCGCTCTGACCTCTGCCCGCCCACGTCGAACATGCGGTACGTCAGCTGACCCAGGTCGAACACCGACTCGGTGATGCCCGTTGTCCTTAATCGTGACCTGAGGAGGTCCTGGTCTGTTGGCACGTAGGCCTTGTCCCAAATCCGATCCAAGTCTTCGCAGAAACTGCAATCCGTCCAGTCAGTCAGTCAGTCAACTACGCTCGGTCAAGTCGGGTAGCACCCTGTGCCGCCAGCTGACTCTCCCATATTTCTATGCTTGGCTGCGCGGCCGCGGGACGGTGGCACGGCTCGGGCGCCGAGGGTGGTAGATGTGGCTTCGGGGATCATCGAGGCGCACTTACTAGTCAAGGTTGTCGTGTAGGGCAAACTCGTTTCCTTTGGCGATGGCCCTCTTGACGCCTGCGTCCACCCACAGTTGCTTGATGGGCTCGAGGAATTCGATTGGCAGCGCATCCTGGGCACTGATTTCTCGGTCTTCTAATAGGCGCGCCACGTTGTTCTACAGCTCCAGGAACGGTTAGTCCGCTGCGCATCCCGACACCATTTATTCGGCGCGAGGGGTCTTGTCCATGGGTTGTCTCAGTTGCGTGAAACATGCCTCGTTCTCCTTGTTCTCGAACTGAATGCCCAATTCGGTCATGGCGTCGAATATGACTCTGAAAGATTGTATGATGTTGTTGTACACGACGGGCTTCCACTCGAGCTTCTCGTTTTTGCTGAATCCTTGGGTGTATATGAGCTTCATCTGCTTCAGGACCGTCGACTTGCCCGACTCTCCGGCGCCTGCGATAACGGACACGGAATTTTTGCGTCAGCAAGTTTTACTCAAGAACGGCGGGGGGGGGGGGGGGGGGGGGGGACAGTCGGTCGCCAGTCGGCC